TAAATATTTTTCCTTTAATCTAGAGCATTAATTACATCACCCTGATTTATTTTAAAAAAAAAAGAAAAAATCATGCAACGAAGGGTTAAAGTATACTTATAAGTGTTGTTAACATAAGGTTTTCTTTTATGATTATATTATATTGTTATATATAAATGTCGGATTTTTCGCTTACCTTTACTACTGCCAGTTGTTTTGTCCCGTAATACGTTGATCTGATGTACTCTGCCAAATTCTTCGAACAACGTTCGGAGATCGTTTTCATCCATGTCGTGGGGTACTTGCCCTACGAACATCTTTATATTGTCTGGATCTGGCTGCTCCACACTATTATTGTTCATTATGCTGTAACAAGAAAATATTATATCGATTAGACGATTTTAATTAGAAATTTATTCACGCGCGCGCGGTTATATTATGAAAAAAAAAAAATAATTAAGAATAATTGTAACATGGTGGGGGAGGTTTGTTTTAAATAATAACATTGTACTCTTTACGATGTATTGATAATAAATTATTAGAATGACACGTGAAAAGAAAGATAGAAAAAAAACAAAAAAAGGAATCTAAATGCAATCCTGCGATGCAACCAAACGAATCTCATTTGTAAATAATCTCTATGGCGATGTGCACGCACGTGTTTTGTATCGTTACGTGTGCGCGCGATCGAACGGAAATTTGATTTACGGATTTATCGTTTGGAAAAATAAAATAATATAAATATATAATATAGGTACATTCGATTCCCGGTACAAATCAATTGAAATATAATACTATTTTTACTTTCACGTAGTTAAACTTTTGATTAACAATTTTCAGTCAACAATGTTTCTATTATCGAAGTCGCATATTAATCAGTCTATCGTTGTTTCTTCTTTCTATTGAGTATTATCGTATACAGGTAAATTGTTTAATTATCACTTGTACGTATTTGATCAATTTCACTCTTCAGTATACACATCTATCCGTTACTTCGTGTGTTAAGAGTTGTCTATTTCTATTAAATGAAATATCAAATATAAGTTACTAAGTATACATATTTTTATAATATATGTTTCTGATGTAATTCATAATATAAAAAAAAAAAAACTTCCAGTTGCTGAAGAAGTCCCAATAAAGGGACGAAAACAAATTGATTAATAATTAATTATTATTGTTTTTTTCTAACGTTGTGTTGGGTTCGAGTCGTGATACACAGAAAACAAGCAGTAACACGAGGAGAGGACGTTAGCAGGGCGGTTAACCAGTCGGCATGAGTTATGAGCATCGTTGAGTGAGTGAGGGGTCGGTTATATGAGCGGAAGGCACATTACCATTTCACGCGCTAGGAACGCGAGAGTTTGTTGCGCTGTAAAATCGTGCACCACCATGATGCTCTCTCACACCGTTTAAAATACTAAACCGATGAGCAAGCAGCAGCACATCGCATGCATGCATCTCGCTTCGTCGCTTTTCGTTATTCTTTCATCTGTCCCAGTCGATAAAAAAATAACGTAACTTCGAAGATCTACAAAGATTGCTTTTTTTTTTTTCTTTTTTCACTCCGATATGATATGTACTAAATAAAAACAAAAGAATAGTATAAATAAATCATAATTTTCAAAGTTAATAATATAATTTAAGCCTCTGTGGGTCTGTGTTACTTTCAGGTAACATGTTCATTTTTCGGCATTTTATCAAATAATTTTAGTTTTTTTAATGAGATGGCGAATATATCTCAATTTTATAATGTTTCTGAGACAACTTATACCAATATTCATGATAGTTGCTAATACCATCAACCTGAAATAACTAAATGAATGTTGTGCAAACTGTTTGCAGTAAAGGCAAGCAAAACCTTTTTTTTCAA